AAAGATGTATGGTAAAATAACTTATCCAAGAAAAGGATATAAAACATAAAGATCGTTGATAATGAAGCTGATATTTTTTAATGCCCAGTAACAATATTGTCAGATAAATTAAAGGGAAGAATCAAAACTTTTTGTTATCTATGATTGTCATCCACTGGGTAATAAAGATCTGTTTAGTATTTGTACATTAATGCTTCAAGAAATACTGTATTTAAACTGTTGTGTTTACAGGGCCATCCGGTAAAACTGAAACATCTGACTAATATTTAAACATTAAGCTATTTATATCCTCTGGCTTTCAGTCAATATCAGAGCAGTACTGGACCTTCAGAATGTCCTACCTGTTTTGTTCTTCCAACTTGGCTAAGAGCTCCAACTCATCTGGGCTCAGGTTCTCAGAATCGGAAGTAGGGGAACATGCAGGCATCGAGTTGACAGAAGAAAGTCCTTCATGGGAAGAAGAGTCAGGGCTGATGGCTGGACTTGCCATTTCCAGCAATTTGAGAGTAACAGGAATGTTCATTTAGAAAGTATTTGGAGACAGTGATCAGGAAAGTTAAGGAATCACCTGTAAAAGACAACATAGTACTTAAAACAGCAGTGGTTTTCTCTCTTCTTCTTTATAACTGATACCCAAATAAGATGTTCACAAGATTGGATCACAATTTTTCTAGTTCAATATTAAATTGCTACTACAGACCAAATAAGAAAGAAACAGTGTAACAGATAACCAAGGGTTCCGTCTTTCTTTTTACATTTATTTTGTGAAGAAGTATTTCTTTTCAGATAATCATTTGGATTTTACCAATAATCCTTAGGAACATTTGGCTGTAAAAATTGTAAAATATTCAAAGGATGTGAACTGCTTTTCCAAAGACAAGCCACTATAATTTGAACGTAAGTCACAAATGTTATCCTTACCAAACAATCATAACAGCACATTGTATTTTATAGCAGAATATTATGAATATTCTACAAGCCTTCTTCAAAAAGACATCCATATAATCACTTTCTGCTTGTAACATTAAACAGAAACAAAAAAAGTAAAAAGTTTCTTAGAGAGAAACTAAACCGATATAATACTAGATCAATATAATTAATTTGAAAATTAAACAAAAACTACAGGAGCAATTTGGAGGAGGTGCTGCTGTTTGGAAATAAGACAACTAAAGGAAATAAGACATCATAAACGTAGATTACATTTCTCTTTCACAGCTCTGTTTCATTCTCTCCTGACTTTAATCAGACTGAAAAAGGTTTTGATGCAGAATGCTTGTCCTAAGAAGTCTGCCAAGTACTAATTTGTGGATCCATTTCTCCCAGATGGTTTCTGTTCACCCTATCAGATAGGGTATACTAGATATGCTCCAGATCCCACTGGTGAAGCAGTGTCACCTGGTGGACCCCAGGAAGCATGCCTTCTCTGTCAGGGTACCTTCCTCATGAACCAGCCCCCTAATGAGATACAATCTCAACCCTGTTGGCCTTCCAGAGGGCTGTGAAGACCTGGCTTTTTCTCCCTAGGCCTTATGGTCAAGGATGTTAATGGAGTAATTGGATGGCTGTGGTTATATTTAATATAAATGTGATTGGGATGGGGGTTGACCCAGTTTCTTTTTAATACCGTGTTGCTCATATAATAAGGCCGGGTCTTATTTTTTTTTGAGCCCCGAAAAAATGGCTAGGCCGTCTTTTCGGGGGTGACTTAATTCCCCCCCCTTGCATCTTCGGGCGGGCGGGCAGCGACAGATTGGATGTTGACCTCGGTGTTGGTGGGGCACTTCGTATCGAGGTCAACGCAGGCAGCACCATATCCGGGTGTGCAACAAAAGTACTTCCTAACGGCAAGCCCCCCCCCATTTCGCATGTTTTAATATAGGCCTTAATATGGGGGGAGGGGCTTAATTTCATTTCATGCCTATAAAACATGCTGGGACTTCCTATTGGGGGAGGCCGTATTGTTGGAGAAACAGGGTAGATTTCTACCATTTGATTGTTCTGTTTCTGTTAATCAATCACCCAGACTTTTCTTGATAGACAGCTATATAAATATGCTAAATAAATAAGTGAATACACTTTCAGACTTCATGATTTGTAAAAAGCCTTGTAAATAATTTTACTTAGTGTTTACCTTATTTGTTTTGTTGAACAGATTGGTCATTTGGTGGCTTTTGCTATGTTTCATGCACAGTGATTCTGCTTTAGGTTAATTCAAAAGAATACCTTTACATTTTACAATGCATAATAGTTGCATTTTAGATGCTTATTCTGTTAGTTTTAGAGAAATCTAGTCCTTTGTTAAACATTTCCTCAGTTGCCCAGTATCACCATGCTGACACCCAGCCACTGTTCTGTACCTGCAGGCATACTGCTCCACCAAAAAAGTAGCAAGGGGACTTGAAGCAAGTCCCCTTGAAGCAAGACCTTCCCCTTGAAGGTCTAACACGGCTGGCTAGCTGGTGTGTAATGCAGAAAAATGTAGAGGTGGTTATCTAACCCAGCGGTCCCCAACCTTTCCAGCTTAGCAGACCAGCAGAGAGGAGGAAGGGAATGCAGCTTTGTCCATGTTCACCCCCAACTTTTGTGATCTGGATCCCAATAGCCTATGGCCTGGTACCAGGCCATGGATCAGGGGTTGGGGACTCCTGGTCTAACTCATAGCACATAATTTTATTGAAATGTAGTACCCTGAGACCTTATGCACCAGAGACAGATTTCCTGCACGTCCAATCAGAGTTGGCCAATAAACATATTGCATTGTATTGTATTCTATAGTATTGTATTTCTATTTCTAAATTCTATACTATTCACAATATCTAGAGGACCACCAAATCAGGATTTTGGAGATCAACTTCATTTGCTGCAATCTAAGCAGAATAAAATACAGAATCAATACATTTCATAATTTATAATCTCAATATGCAATCTGTTTTATCTGGTTATAGGTAGCAAAAAGAGATTGGCAGGGGGGTTCAGAAAAATGTAAATGCCCCATATCATTATGCTAGGTGTTTTGAGACAGGCAGTAATTAAATCTCCTTTGAAAAAAAATATTTGGATCCAAAAAACCATTGTGGATCGAAACAGAGAATTGTTGTCCTGTGATTCATATTGGTTTTGAATAGAGATTTCTGAATGTTAACAACTTGAGATATACTCTTGGCAGTATATAGATATAGGTAAAATTGCTATGGTCTGGAGGAAAAACTGAAAACATATTAGGTATACGTGACATTAGAGAATTGTTTGTTTATTTTTGATGTTTATTAGTGTCCATTTTGATGTTTATTAGTTAAAATTGTTCTTTGCGATCTCTTACTTTGCTAATATACAATGAATAGATAGTGAAATTTGCAATACGAAACTCAATAAATTGTGGTACAAGGCAAACACTTGAAAAATTTCAAGTAATTTTAAAATATAGATTCAATAGTTTTATTGAGTCCACTAAGCTGCTGTATAGTTTGTAGGATCTCATTAAACTGCCTTTTATAAGGTCTGTAGGGATTCTCAGTGATCCAGGTCATGGTTGTCACAAAGGTGCTTTTTCAGGAGGCAACTGGACTTTGTTTTTTCTTTTGAAGACGTTTCACTTCTCATCCAATAAGTTTCTTCAGCTCTGACCAGATAATGGGGAATAGAAAGATTTATATTCCTTGCAGATAGCTAGTAATATGCATCCTTTAGAGCAGGGGTGGGCAAACTTTTTGGCTCGGGGGCCGCATTGATTTTTAAAATTTGACGGACGGGTCGGGTCAGCACAAGATACGATACATATAAAAAACTGCATTTGTTAACAGTTCCCCTTTTCAAAGCGAGGGGAGGAAAGAGTTTTGTTTTTTAAGTGGAAGAGACGCCTGCCGTACTCAGGGTAGGAAAAATAACTATTTTTTTCTCCGAGACACCCTCCAAAACTCAAGTTTGGCGTCATAGTTAAATTTGCACAACATAGATAGATAGATAGATAAAGTGGCCGCGGTTACATACGGACCAATCTTCGGCGGGCCGCATAAAAAAGACCAACGGGCTGGATGTGGCCCACGGACCGTAGTTTGCCCACCCCTGCTTTAGAGGGTCATTGAAATGGAAGCCAAACTGTGCAAATGACCAGCTGTCTGCAAGGAATATAAACCCTTCCATTCCCACGATCCGGTCAGAGCTGAAGAAGCTTCTTGGATGAGAAGCGAAATGTCTTCAAAAAGAAAAAACAAGGAAGTCCAGTTGCCTCCTGAAAAAGTACCTTTGGATGACCTGGATGACTGAGAATCTCTACAGATTTTTAGCTATAGAATTTGGGATGAACACCCTTTAAATGGTGTGGGAGTAGGAATGGATTTCCAGAGGAAAAAAACTGCAGACTACAGGAAGCAGGAGCACTACTCAGGTGATGCCGAGGACACAGATAAACCTCTTAAGTGCTTCAGTGATGCTCTAAAAGGATGCAAATGAACAGCTGTCTGCAAGGAATATAAATCTTTCCATTCCCCACTATCCTGTCAGAGCTGAAGAAGCTTCTTAGATGAGAAGTGAAATGTCTTCAAAAACGAGAAAGAAAAAAATCCAGTTGCCTCCTGAAAAAGCACCTTTGGGACACTTTTATAAGATATTTCAGATCAATCTAATTCCACCCTCCTGTCTTATTTTGTTCTATTTTTACTATAAAGAATGTTTAGGGTCAAAGGGGTAGGGTACAAATCAGTAAATACAAATTAAATGAAGAAAAGTGACAACTGAGAAATGCAGTTAATTTGGCAGACTGTAGTCAAAAATACAAAAAATGAAGCTCCTTGGTTAAATCTATCAGTTGTCTCCAGTGAATTGGCAATTGCAGTTTCAAATCCTTTTAGTTTCAGAAGTAGGTCTCACCCTAGAATTTTGCACCCCTTCATCTCCCAGTTTGTCCTTCATTGTAATGATAAAATTTTAAGAAATTTGAGGCACAGGGTTAAATTAGACAAAGCCATCAGATGGGGTGATATCCCTGTTGAACTTTTCAAAATTAATATTCACTGATGGGCACTAATTTCAGCACTAATTTCACTAATATCATTCCATTAATCTGCCGCATGTAACCAGCAAAACATATTCAAGAAAGTTTTGTTTTACAATTGTCTGGGGGGGGGGGGGGGGTCTAAGAAAAACCCATGAACAGGCCAGTGTTAAAACTGGCAAGTATAAAATTGACCACTGCCTGAATTTCAACACCTAGAAGAAAAATACTGTGCCAACCTTCACGGGGCCTTTCATGCTGCTTTTATTGATCTTGAATTTGTCTTTGAGCCTATCCCAAATGACAGACTTTCATTTGGGAAAAACAGAAATTTCAATCCTAGATAAAAGGCTTTATTTTCAGATATGACAACTACACAAAAACCGTTTTCTTAAGGTCGGTTGAAATGCCCAAGGACATTTGACACAAAACATTTCTGAAAATAAGTGAATGAAATATTTCTTTATTATAAAGTCTTTATTTCTCTAGAAACCACAATCTTATAAAGCAGATTGTCTGATTGATTTAAGCTGCTATATTGTCCATAAGGTTTAGCCCCCTTATCTGTATGATCAACA